TTTGTATTCTTTTGAACTACTTTATTTGTTATGGATGTTGCTGGTAAACGCGTCACTGTTGTCGTTGGAGTTTAGGTGTACGGTTGTTTTATTTATTTAAGAATTTTAGCCACTGAGGCGGATATGAGATGTTCTTGTTTTTGAATTGCCCATGGAGGGCGAAGTTTAGACAGTTTATAACATTTATATTTCTGGTAGAACGTATGGGAGTTGAAGCTTTATTTCATTTAAATTATTTCCCAGGGAGTTGCTTATCTCGTGTTTAGAGTTAGGGCTAGCCAGGTGAATTATTTAGCGTTGCCTAGGATGATATATAACATCTTGGGGCGTTACAGGCTGATACTTGCTTTTTTGGTAATGACCTTCCTATTTCGCCTTGGTCATTAATATCTGTCATCTTATTCAAGATATCAACGATCTCATTTACCGACTTCTCTAACAACGAGCCATTGGCTGAGGTGTTTAACTGTAACGCCCCAGGAATTTCACCATTTCCAAACAGGGACCATTACTAAGACTACCTAAAATTTTCACATAAACAAGAGAATTATCTTCACCACAATACTAAGCAATAAAGCTACCACGCTTCTCCTGCGCTACTTTGATTTTCAACACTCACGAGAGCTTGAACAATTAAAACAGCAACACTAAAGTTTTAAGAGAAACTCACATCCTATACAGATAAACCATTTAATACCGACTTCACATTAACCAAACCCTTCAAGAAAACCTCTACTAACTATAAACCATCCACTAAATGAATATTAACATCTCGAATGGCAATGAAGCAAAAACTAATTCAAGTACGATCAACTTAAACAAATGTATTCATAAATATCCTAAGTAGATACAATCTCGTAGTTCAAGAGGCTAACAAAATTAATGCTCTAAAAGAATAATGAATCAGCAACCTTACAACATCCTTTAGACAATAAAACTAAACAAAACCAACCACTACCAACTCAACTACAGGATTAAATGGCCACAACTATCCTAACAAAAAGAAATTAATTGCACGCAGCATAGCTAATGGTCTTTCCGATCAAGCCTCCTCCTCGCCATCACCATCCCAAGAGCTAGCTCAATACCTGCAAACTGGAGGGGAAAAAAAAGGGATGAGTACAACCACAGTACTCAGTAAGCAGCCCTTATCTGAAAGGTCACGCACAAACAGCATACTTATCAAAGAACAACGTGTCATGCTTA